GCCGAGCAGGGAGCCCGATGCGGGACTCGATCCCGGGACTCCAGGATCATGACCTGAGCTGAAGGCAGTCGCTCAACCAACTGAGCCACCCAGGCACCCATGAAGCCGTTTTTAAAACATTTGTGTGGGGGGGGTGCAAGATGACAGAGTAGGAAGACCCTAAACTCACTCCGTCCCACATTTACAACTAGGTATCACTCCCATCCAAGTCAATAAACTGGAGAGCGATCTGAAGACTGGCAGAACAAAATCCACAACCAAATGCAGAGAAACTGCCGGCACTGGAGAAGTTAGGAAAGGCAGAAAGGTGGTGGCGATTTGCCAGCAGGAGGGAGAGAGCTACTGCCGCAGAGAAGGGAAACCACCAGGGCGTCCACACAGGTAAAATAAATCCGTATAATATCTGGCCTTGAAACCCAGAAGGGCTAAATTCCGTGAGTTTGTATAACCGCAGACCTGGGAGTCTGGAGCTTTGAACGTCAGCTGACTCAGCAGCAGGGGAGCCAGGAAGGTGTGTGATAGCCAGGTCCCCACCCTTAAAGAGATAACAGCCTGAGCAAGAGGCAACAGGGGAAGGAGATCTGTTTATATGGATTTCGGGGCACGATGGGGAACTTCTCTGGAAACAGAGGAGCTGGCAGGGGCCATTTTCCTCCGCTACGCCTCAGCATAAACACAGAGACACCTGCCGGAGGCAGTGCTGCACAGACACTTGCTACTAACCTGCTAGCAGTGCACCAGGCCCATGAGTTCTCCTGAGGACTCGCCCACTCCAAGTCCGTTGGCCCTGGGCTCAGGACAAATTTTGTTAACGCCGCACATGCCCCACCCAGTCAATGCCTCTGCATGCTGTGCCGCTGTGGCCACCACACTCTGGGGCCTGTGGCCAGGTCTAGCAGCTCAGTGCAGATTTTCCTGACGTCACGTGTGTGCCCTGCCCAGCTGGCCACAGGCCCCTAGCCCCCATGCACACAGACCCATGGACCCCTTGTTGCTACCTCAGACATGTGCCTTGTGCCAGGCCGCTAACACATGCTGCGTGACCGGCCACCACCGCAATTTAGGGGATCTGGCCTACTCCTAGTGACCCTGCAAATTTTGCAAACACTGCTGCACCACCCCTGAGCCTTCCTATAGTCACGCCCCGCCAGGACCAGCCTGCCTGGGTCTCACTAATACCACAGAGAGCAAGCACAGCTCACAACAGGCAGAGTCTGTGCAGGGGTCTGGACTGATAGGGAAAGCATAATAGTAGGATGCAAGAAACACACATAGAAGACTCCCCTGAAGTGTAACGTTCTGGTGAACAGGAGACATAGCTGACTTTCCTAAGACACAGAAACAGACAGAGAGGTAGACAAAAAAAAAAAAGGAGGAGACAAAGGAATTTGTCCCAAATGAAAATCTTGACAAAATCACAACTGGAGATCTACGTGAAACAGAAATTAGTATACCTGACAGAGAATTTAAAGTAATAATTAATAAATAAATAAATAATAAAGTAATGATCATAAAGATATTCACTAAACTTGAGAAAAGAGTGGACATTATCGGTGTGACCCTTAGCAAAGAGAGAAAAAAACAACATTATCAGACATGAAGAACTCAATACATAAAATTAAAAATACAATAGATGGAAATATAAACAGTAGGCTACAAGAAGCAGAGGAATGTATCAGTGACCTGGAGGACAGAGTAATGGAAAGCAAACAAGCTGAAGAGATCAAAGACAAATACTCCATAATCGGTATAGACTTAGAGATCTCAGTGACTCAATTAAGTATAACAACATTTGCATTATAGCAATCCAAGAAGAGAGATAAAGGAGGGCAGAAAATGTATCTGAAGGAAAAATAGCTGAAAACATCCCAAATGCAGGGAGGGAAACAGAGATCCAGATTCAGGAGGCACAGAGATCCCCAACAAATTCAACCCAAGGAGGTTCACACCAAGATACAGAATTAGAATGGAAAAACGAGTGATAAAGAATTTTATTTTATTTATTTTATTTTATTTATTTATTTATTTATTTGACAGAGCGAGATAGTGAGAGCCGGAACACAAGCGGGGGGAGTGGGAGAGGGATAAGCAGGCTTCCTGCTGAGCAGGGCGCCCGATGTGGGGCTCGATCCCAGGACCCTGGGATCATGACCTGAGCCGAAGGCAGACGTTTAACGACTGAGCCACCCAGGCGCCCCATGATAAAGAATTTTAAAGGTTGCAAGAGAAAAGAAGACAGTTACATACAAAGAAAACCCATGAGGCTATCAGGGGCTTTTTCAGCAGAAACTCTGCAGGCCAGCAAGAAGTGACATGTTAGGGGCGCCTCGGTGGCTCAGTCGTTAAGCGACTGCCTTCAGCTCAGGTCATGGTCCCAGGGTCCTGGGATCGAGCCCCGTGTCGGGCTCCCTGGTCAGCGGGAAGCCTGCTTCTCCCTCTCCCACCCCCCTGCTTGTGTTCCCTCTCTCACTGTGTCTCTGTCAAATAAATAAAATCTTAAAAAAAAAAAAAAAAAGCGGCATGTTATATTTAAAGTGCTGAAAGGAAAAAAATCTGCAGCCAAGAATACTCTATCCAGGGGCGCCTGGGTGGCTCAGTGGTTAAGCGTCTGTCTTCGGCTCAGGTCATGATCCCAGGGTCCTGGGATTGAGCCCCGCATCAGGATCCCTGCTTGGTGTAAAGCCTGCTTCTCCCTCTCCCACTCCCGCTGCTTGCGTTCCCTCTCCCGCTGTCTCCCTCTGTCAAATAAATAAATAAAATCTTAAAAAAAAAAAAATGTTTAAACAAAAAAAAGAATACTCTACCCAGCAAGGTTATCATTTGGAAGAAGTAGAGATAAAGAGTTTCTCAGCCTAACAAAAACTAAGGGAGTTCAAGACCACTAAACCAGCCCTCCAAGAAATAAAAAGAGGACTCTGAGTGAAAAGCAAAGACCATAAGTATAAAAGGTAAAAAATACAAAATCATTAAAAATAAGTATTTCTGTAAAAATCAGTGAAAAGATTCATAAAATAAAAGGATATAAAGTATGACACCTTATATCAAAGACGTGGCAGGGAGAGGGGAGAGGAGTAAAGAATGGGCTTAAACTTAAGCAATCATCAACTTAATATAGACTACTATATGCAGAAGATGTTATATACAAACCTAATGGTAACCAAAAA